GAGCAAACCCCACTCCCTTCTAGCACTGAAGATGTTACCTAGCTGGGTAACGATACGTTTGAAGACTACAGCCAAGCTCAGAGAACCCCAAGGACTCCACAGTTCAACCCTGAGCTACACATATTCGCTTCTATTGGTACATGGAATAATGGATTTAATTTACAGGAAGGCAGATTATGATATGATTCCAGGAGAGACTAGGCATATGTCAGAGATCTTTTCATCTGGATTCCTGCAATAAGCAGGCAGTTGGTTGAAATAGGCCCTTCCAACTCTATGATTCTATGAACTGTTGATTAAATTACTGGAAAAAACTTCCTAACAGTAGAATAGCTCAACAGCAAAACTGATTACACAGCAAGATGATGAGCACCACTGAATGAGTTCAAGCAGAGGTTAGACAACTATACCTTGGGGATGCTTTAATTTGGATATTTACACTGAGGAGAGGGTTGGAGCTTTTATTTTTGAAGAGTTTTTATCCCGCCTTTATTATCTTTATAAATAGTGACGAACATACCTAATACTTCTTCCTCCTCCCATATTCCCCACAACAACCACCCTGTGAGGTGAGTTGGGCTGAGAGAGAGGGACTGGCCCAAAGTCACCTGGCCAACTTTCATGCCTAAGGTGGGTCTAGCACTCACCATCTCCTGCGTTCTAGCCTGGTGCCTTAACCACTAGTCCAAACTGGCTCTCAATGGCCCTTTCCAACCTAAAGACTCTGTGAAATAGTTGTCTCTTTGCGAACTCTCCATTTGTTGAGATGGCAAACCAACTGCCTGTTTCCTTCTTGGCCCCTTCTTCATTGATCAGATACAGCTTTGTCCTGAATGGGAAACAAATCTTACAAAATGTTTCACCCAGTGAGGAGAAGAGTAAGGAAGCGCATTATAATCCTTAATCATCAACTGAAGTGAACAACCGTCACATAGAAGAATGAACAGAAGGAAAAAAAAGTTCTTGATACAAAGAACCAGGCTTTGAAGCTAATGGGCTTCAGTGCCAGATAGCTGGCTCTGACTGATCGTTAGGAGACTGTTCTTGATAGTAAGAGCCATTCAGCGACAGAACCAACTTCCTTGACAGCCAGCGATGGCCTTCTGTGACCTCCACCTCAACAATTTGATATTATTAGATTACACTATTACAATCAGTGCTCTGAAGGCTATCTATGGCCAATTACATCCCATCTGCAACCCAGAGAAAACTTTCCAATTAGGCTGCCAAAGCAGCAGGATCCATCTTCAGTGGCATGAGTTTTAGTGAGGGTTTCCCCCCCCCTAAAATAAGCAAAATAAATGCAACCGACTTCCCACCCCAGCCCCTGCTCTCAAACGTACTCCCACACGTCAGGCTGAAAATGAGTTCAGGCCTTGCAAGCAACGGTGGTTATCTGTCTTTAACAGCAATTAAAATGTCAGGCTAATCTTCTAGGTCATAAATCTAGTTTAAGTTCATATACATTTAGGTTTTCTTACCAAGCAGACTATGAACAGGGCCCAGCAGCAAGAGAGAACACAGGGAGTCCTTCTTTAGCAACCATAATTGGGACCTGCAACTCAGTCATTAAGCAAAGCGGTTGCTAAGTGAAACCACAACTGTGCTTATGATCTTGCTTCAACTTTCCTTTGCTTTACAGACCTGTGAAGGTCATAAATGTGAAGATTGGTTACAAATTACTTTCTCATCACCATAATAAATGCAAATGGTCATTAAACGAGGCAGTCGCTCAACAAGGACTACCTGTAGTCCAGATAATGGGGCACAATATCAGGAAGCAACCTGACAACAAGGAAGGTTTCATGACAAGAATCGTGACAAGCCATTCTCAACTACAATTTCCTCTTGGCTTGCAATTTCCCCATAATTTAACTCCTCTAATTTGGTTGCTAGTTTTTCATTATCATACTCTGTCCATCCCAAGACATTCAAACTCTCTTTTGACTGAAAACAGGCAATTTTAAGTGACATAGCTTGAAAAGATTTGCACTGATTTCAATGAACATGGGGATGCTTTATCTCTATCAGGAGTACCTGGTTGTTTTATGTGTATTGTGTGTGTGTGTGTGTGTGCGCGTGCACGCTTCAAAAAGCAAGATGGTGGCTGAAACCAGGCAATTGAAGCCCCATACCTTTTTTTACATGTGTCATGTACATGACACATTTTTTAAAAAAAGAGAGACAGAGCTTTGATCGTGCAGTTGTGGGAGGAATCTTGACTTTTTTGACCCTCCACCCCCACAAATGCATCTCATCCCCAGATCTTATCCCCAGTGATATGCTATTTTG